TGTCAACTGTATGTATAGTTTTGTATTATATCACATCGATATAGCATTTTAGAGATTATTTATACGTCATTCATTCAAATACGTGTTTTTTTTGTCCAGATACATGTTTAAATAGAGGTATATTATTTTTAAAACTATAATTATAAAATCAATGTGTGATGTGTATATTATCAATTTCTAATCATTACTGAATAATAATTAGTTATGTATTATGATATTAAGATATAAAATGTAATATTTTAAAATGTTAAATATAGGTATTTACAAATAAAAAATATTATATTACTTATTTTAGAAGTATGTAAATATGAATGTATTGGATACATTGTGTTATATATTAGTAGGTGTGTATTTTTGTTGTTGTTTATAACTAATGAATATTGCAAAATTTTTCACTTTTTAAATTTGTATTAGTTATTAAAATATTGTCTTCAAATTTTATTTTTATATCAAAAGAAAAATTGAATAACTTGTTTTATTCTCTTGAAAAATTATTTATGTATACCTGCTTATATTTTATATTTAGATTTAAAATAGCATAAGTATATTGTTTAAGTTTTATATGTTTAGTGAACAGCAAGTTGTAATGTTTTACTGGTTTGACATTAACTACAAACTCTAATACGTATGTCAAACTTATCAAATGACTTGAAAAATTCTTTTTAAAGTGAGGCCTGGTTACTTATTTGATACATTTTTATTTTGTACCTAATATGAATTAATTGTTGTGTTACGTATTTAATTTTACAAATTACGATGTAAAGTTAAGTTATTTGAATTTCTAAAGTAGAAATGTACTTGTAATGACTTGAGTTAATATATATGATTTGTAAGTCCTTGTAGAGATTTTATGCATTTATTTAAATTTAAAAGTACATATTATTTACTATATAAAATATAAATATTATATTATAAACATAATTTATAGTATAATTTTTTGTAATTAGTTGATATTCTTATTTCTATAGAATAATAATATAAGTTATACGTAAGTACAACGTACCTATATTATGGATGTATAATAAGCCTTGATTATGAAATCGAAATGTTAGGAGACATGACTACGTAAAGGTAAAGTAAAATTAGAAATCATGAAGTTCTCAATTATCGTTATATAACCGAGCTCCTTTTTTTTTTATATTATACATTTTTTTTTTTTGTAATTTATTACTATTAATTATGTTATTATTTTAGTTTTATTCATATTGATTATATTAAGAATTCATTTCGGATTATACCTAACCTAACTTAATCTAGGAACACGGTTTTGAATATTTCAATAGAAACCCTCAAAATGATTAACTTTATCGATAGTTTACTTTATGTATGTTGACCCTATAATTGTTTTGTATATGTGCGTATTATACTAGTTCAGCGATCAATATTATATTCATTCTAGAGTTTAGAATGCTTATTGAAGCCCCAAAAATTGTATGATATAATGTTGAACGTGTAAAAAACACAATACTATTAAGTCCAAATATATTGTAAATGGTCGAATAAGTTTTGTAACATATACTGTAAGGTGCTATATTCAATGAAATATACATTTTTTTTTCCTAAGACTAGACTGAACCGAAAATTGCAAGTATATACCTATTATAATAGTATTTTGTACTTGAAAATGTAATGAAACCATGGAAAGTCGATTATTTTCAAAATAAAATTACTGTGTGTATTGTTTAAGTAATATGTCATGGACTTAAATGCATATTAAATAAATATTTTGATATATTTTTAAACTCTGTTAATGCTGTAATGTGGTGGTTAAATTAATATTATAGTAACGCGAATGCTCGACTAAAAATTTATCAACGTATGGAATATTTTAATCTTTATAATTATTTATAAGTATATTATAGTGTAGGTATTATATATAATAAGTAGAGATTATAAATTATTTGATAAACCGCTAAGAGCCTTAAGAAAATGATAGAATTATTGTTTACTACTCATATTAAAATAATACCTTTATTTATTTTATATTTTAGTTTAATTTACCGATTCTAGGTTAAAGTTTTGTTTTTATTTTTTTATTTTATTGACTTAAAGGGTTACCACGTATCTTATTTTATCATATTGTATAATATAAAATATGAACAAAACCATCATCAAATAAATAATTCTAATCGTTATTTCTGTCTTATGTAAAAGCTTATAATTTGATTAGGTTGTAGCCCGTAGGTCACTAATCACCAATCATCAAACTATTGTAATAAATGTATATTGTATGACGTGTTTATAAAAAATTATAATAACAAAATTGTTCAGCTATAATATTGTTTAATGAAAGTTGACTAATAATACTGTAGTTTAAATAATATACATTTGACATTAATAAGCATATTAATTATGAGAAGTTTTAAAATTTTAAAGATAAAAATACTATATTAAAATAAATTACTTTATAACAAATAGTAAAAAGAACAAACAAGCTACTTTAAAATAAATGTCAACAAATTAATTTTTTTTTTCAACATCTAGACAGTTGATCTACATGACTGTGCTTACTAAGGAGTGTTAATTGTTGAAATAAAAACTATATACGCCATATTACGCAAAAATATTATATTCTTATTTTAATAATTTGTATAATAAATATATTCTATAATATTTAAACTTAAAAAACTTAAACAAGTATCAACTCGCGATGACAGATATTTGAAATGAGAGGGTAGGGAGGATAAATTAAATTGTAAATAATTAAAACATTTTTAATCATTTTCATAAGTCTATACACATATTAAAGAAAAAAATAAAAACAATGAGGTGGCCAGGTTGAATACTCAATCCCCTTCACTCGTCGGTACATCACTGGTATCAACGACAATTTTATTAATGTCTAAATAGATGTTTCAATTAAAACTGCGCATGTGTTTCGTATTAAGCTCGCTATTATAAAATAACTCTGCTATGCTTTAGAATCATAATGATTTTATTTCATTTTTTTAAAAAGCTATTATACATTTGTAAAGACTATTCAACAAAGAGTATTATTGTATGCATTTTATATTTATCAGATTTAAAATAAAAAAAAATAATATTATTCTGATGTATTAGACATAATTCTCCTTGTTTATAGGTAAATAATTTCGTATATTGACTATTTTATTGACAAAATGTACAAAACAACATGTAGTATATATAAACTTATGGCGTATTGGAAAATGAAATTGTTTTATTTTTCTTTATTTGTGTTATGTTAATAATGCGTCGACCTTTGCTGCTGCAAATAATAAATATTTACATTCGTGCGTAGACCACGTGGTCCCCACAAGATATGTCATGCACGTGGCCTTTGTTGTATAAATATTATTTTTATCCATACTCGCAATTAACGTAATTACCACGTAGATAAATTTCAAAATATATAGCTAGTCGTAGGATGAAATCATTAATCAATTATCACATATTATTAATCACGTTTGTACACTATACCTACCTAATATATTATATAAAGTGACCTTTTTAAACTTTGATTTGTCAGTAAAAATTATTACGTTATAGCTTATTATGTCATTGTATATTATGAATTTTAACGGTAGAATTTGTACCAATATATTTTATTAAATGAATAACTTAAAGTCCGAGTAGTAGATAAGGTTAGGTAATGAATGTATGATTTTTTTCTAGAACTGTTATTACTATTCTCACTCTTGTTTTGACGGGAGGGGGGAGAGATTTAAAGAATTTAATGTTTTCATTACTATGATTCTATACGCTACAGTTTCGTTAAAATTATTTAAGGACCTGACTAAAAGGTGAGATGATAAAATAATGGTATGTCGCTCGTGATTGTTGGATTGACGCGTTTTATTGTGAAGGAGATGATGATTACTTATAACGTTTGAAATCTAGGCTCGGAAATAATGCATGTCCCTACGTGTGTTATCCGTAAATTGATGTATCGCGCGTACATTTATCATACAGAATTCCCTAATTTGTTAATTATAATATTTTATCTCATTGCGTTGTTGTAAAAAAAAAATTAAATTTATCATTGAAAACCGATCGTGTCAACGGCGTAGGTACATTATTTTAATATATAAAACCACAATGTTAACTTTATCACGTGCGTAATATTATACCCTAACTAAATACATTGTGTAGTAATTTTTTTATCTCGCGTACACTACACAGATAATTACTAGAGAAATGTCCTTGGAAACGATCACAATTATAGAACGTCGTACAAGTCCTTCAACTTGTCCGGGACCATCAGAAATATATTATCTACGCCATAGGTATCTTCACCTAAGCAGAATAATACATTATATTAGCGGTTATTGTACGCATGTAACCTATTATATACAGGATCATTATTTCGGCTATCATTATACATATTAAAATATTTAAATAATTTAGATTAATTTTTTGAATGTTATAGTGATTTTTCAACGCAACTAATTGGCTGTCAAATGTCATAATTTTGTTTCTATTGTTATTAACTATGATTTTTTGTGTATTTATATTTTTATATCTGTGGATGCTGTGGTTATACCGCGTGCACACCGACAAATACGATAATAACATAATATATTATAAAATAATATATTAGTGCACAAAATATGGTTTTTCGTTTTTCCACTTGAATTCATAGTAAATATTATTTGTTAGATAATAAAAGTAGTTATTTTCATAACACTCATTATCATAATATTGCGAGGTGTAAGAAGTTACGAGGAATTTAAAATGGAAAAACGAAATTGTACGCGATAAGCATTTTCGTTAAGCGCCACGTATACGTGATGTGTAGCGGTCGCCTAGCTAATGTCTTCGGATAATATTAATTATTTTAATAATATTTTAATCATGTACATATTATATGACGATGACAACTAAATTGCGTTATCACGCGTACGGCTCGTGTCAAAGGCCGTTTCATAATGCGTTCATAATCGGTGCGACAACGATGATGTTTATGGGGTTGTGTGTTTAGTCTTACGTGAATAGCCGATTTGTAGAGTCCGTATAAATTTGTCGTACGTTTTGTTTTACAGGTTGTGTCTTGATTATCACTGTGAAGACGCTGCACAACTCCAGCTAGTACAGTGGCTGCGTAATAAAGTCGCTCCGAATAATTACAAAGTCGGGGGACTTATTTCAGCGTGAGAAGAGGCAATCCATTTTAAGCGTAATCATGGTAAGTTTTTTTTTTTTTATTATTAATTTATTATTACTATCATGTAATCTGAGTTCTTTATATTTAATCATATTACGTACCTGTGGTCGACGTAGTTAAAATTTTATCTAAACTGAAAATATTTAATGGGTTATTTTTTTTTATTTTTTTTTTTTTAATAACATTTCAATTTTACTTGATATTTTTTTAAAGTTGAATTTTTTATGAGCTATTAGATTTAAAAATAGGTATTGAATAATGAACCAACATTTTTCTATTCTAAAAGATTTTATTACATTTAAATTAGAGGTGTGTAGATGCATAATGTGTAGTCGATCCTACGAATTTATGGTGCACTACTCAAATTATTGATAAGCAAGGTTGGCCATTTTATCCATTTTTATCGGATAAATACATGTCTTTGTCAAATGGGTATAAGTTTATGTTAAAAGTTTAATTTTTAACACACATCATTCAGAGTATCTCGATAATTGTTTTTTTAACTAAACTTTAAATACTGATAGATATGACTGTACTACTGGTCCAGTATATAGATATTGATTTTTATAATGTCAATGTTCATTAAAATATTTTTCTGAATGGAAATTAAAAGTATACACCGCAATAATATATCTTTGTTAAATATACACGTAAGTTTAATTAGTAGCCTAACCAAACTACAAATTGAACCGTACCTGTTCATTGGTAAAATAAGAATGAATTAATTTTTTTTAATGATGTTTTTAATTTATTTAGATTCTTACGAAGAATCGGAATGTTATGATTACAGTAATTATTACGAGTTCAATTATTTTCTACATATTTTTTCTATATAGGTAATAGGTTATCGCAAACGTTTTATTTTTATTTTTATACTTTAAATGTCTATTTTTGCTTTATAGATAAACAATTTAATTTAATATAGATAAATAATTTGTAATTGCGTTACAATTAATTATTTTTTATTATCTCTTGACCCTTATTAATGAATTTTTTTTCATATCGATATCCATATATGCGATTAAATTTTCATTAATTCTTAAAACGTACCAAGAAAGTATATAGGTGTAGTATGTAATATAGATTCTATAGTTTATATTATATGCCTGTTGCTAAATTTTTATTCAAGTTTTTTTTTTGTGATTTAATTAATGAAAAATGTGTAATTATAGTAAATAAAATTAATAGATTAAAAAACAAAATTATTCAAAAATAACATTTAAATTAGAAAAGAAATTTTGGGAAAAAAGTATCAATTTTTTTTATTATTCAAATAACACTATCTGTTTATGATAAAATTATATGTATATATATATAAATATGATCACATGGTAGTATACTATAATTTTTGAAATGTGTTGATAATTTTTGAGCTTAGCATAATTTGTTTTTAAAATACCTTAGTTCTGCAAGACCAGTAAATTTTTAACCAGTTGAAGTGTAATTCATGTTATACGTAGATGTCTTATTCATTGACATCCATGGTATTGTTCACATTCTAATACCTAAGTCCTTAATTCATCGATTGTTCCAATATGACAGTATTCCTATTTTTATTATAATTATTATAATATTTAAGTATTTTAAGCCTGTTTAAAATTAAACATATTGAAAAATTCCTATTTTTTTTTTTGCGTCTTTATATGTAGGGTTTAAAGTAATGCAGATAAACAAATCAATTTATTACAATATAATTCTTCGATAATTTGTATGATTATAATTTATAAATTTTTTATTTTCATTGATCTAAAAATATCGTTATTTAATTCAAAGAAAATTTTGTATTCTTATAACCATTCTTTTTATTATAATGGTTTGTGTTTCAACTTCCAAAATTTAACACAAAGCCCAAACCTCTGAAATTTTTAATTCCTTCTTTATAGTGAAAAATCTAGATTTTTTTATTTGTAGTAATGGGGAAGAATAAAAAAAATAATGTAAAATAGGTATATTTAAAACAAAAAAAATTATACCATCAATTAATTTTAAGATGTTATTTTATATCTATGAATACATTATAGTATTTTTTTTTCGATAGTTTTGTTTATTACTACTTACTGTCTAACTTATTCATTTTATATAGAAATAAATGTATTATAAGTAATACATATTGATATCCATTAAGTACTTATACAAAAAGAAGTCCTAAGCTCCAATTAAATTCACTTCTATTTTTCGATACCTATAGACTATTGATGCATTATAATTTTATTATTTTAGTTAAGTACGTTTGTGTAGTGTAAAGAACAATAAAGCGTGGGCAACGCAGAACATAATATTTAACAATACATAATTCCGATAATTAGGGTATCTATTTTTAGACTGAGTGTACAGTTGTCCGTCTGTGTTCGTGTCGCACTGCGTAACCGTTTTTTTTAATCATTTATTCATATATGATACTTACCCATGTCGACTTTAATATATATATTTATATATATATTACTTAGTTAAAAAAATATCTCATTATTATAGGCCTACATACATGCATCGTTTTTTTTTAAATGTTCAATATTTTAGCTGATAAGCACGTTTCTGTAAATATCTCTCTTGTTCAAACACATTTTTTGGGGTTTAAAATAACGACGGACGAAGATCTGCGTCCAGTCGCAGTTAATTTGCGGCCGTCGTAAGTAGCTACGTCGTGGAAAAAAAAATATAAAAAAATAATTTTTTTTCTGGACCGCCTTAGACACAATAATTTATAATTATCCATAACTTGCACTCTATCGATAATTGACAGTAAACGGTACTATACTCGCGTTCCTCTAGTATATAGTGTATATTCCACGAAATCCTCAGTCGCCGAGCGACAAGTCTATCATTGTTGCATACACTCCAGTAAGTAATTGCACATTGCACATTATATATACAATATACGCATAATACATACATTTATAAGCTGAAACTCCATTTAAGGAAGATGTATTTTTTCTGTTAATTTCTCTCGCATCCGCCCTACAACACGGTATAATTGAGTTCACGATACAATATCATATCACCGCCGTTTACCTATATTTAATGTATATAATATCTAATTGATTTATATATATAAATGTATATGAAATATATTTTAGTGTCTCTCAGATCGCGTATGAGTGTGTACCTATTCACTACGCCTATACAGTTTATTTTTAAAGACGTTTCAATTTCTTGTGAGCCAAATAACTTGTCAACGATCCACTTTTTTCCTCGTTCTCTCTTTGTCATTTCCTTAGTCAGGTCTCGACGTCTCCCGAATATATTACTGTCTAGCCGTGTACGGATATTCGTGTAATATTTTATACAATATTAAATATTGTAATAATAATATCTGTACCGAAGACGCACTTCAAATACTCCGTGTAAAATATTTTTTATACATTCTCAAAGAATAAATAAATACAGTGGTCATTGTTCGAATTTCAGGATTCCCAAGGCGTAGAGCCTGAACTCCAGACGTTCCTTTTGGACGAAAAGTCCAAGATGAAAGAATGCCTACCGCAAGACATGTAAGTTTTATTGATAATTTTTTCTATTCTTAAGTTATTTTTTTCTCTTTCGAAACGTATAAACCAAAGTAGTGAATCTTATACAATATGTAATATAGCTAAAAAATAACGTAACTCGATGGTTAGTATATAATAAATTATTAGATGCGATTAGAATAAAATATATAAATCGTAGAATTGCGGATACATGTAATCCACTCAACTCTTTTTACGATTAATTAAGTTTTGCATTTTTATTTTTATTTTTCAAGAACAATTTTTTTTTTTAATATTTGACATTTTGTTAGTCGGTGGTTATATGGGAGATGTTTCTTTAATCAAGTTCACTCTCATTTTTCCTTTAATTATCATGTATTTATTTAAATTCTGATTTTATTAATTTATATTAGTATAAATAAAAACTTCATTTTTATTTACTATGATTATTTTATGTTATTTATGTAATGTCAAGTAGGTATACAACTTTTTTTTTTTTTAATTAGAATCTCCTTTATTTGCTGTAAATTGTTAAGTAATTTTTTTTTTTTTTTTGACAAGTTTAATGTACCTAATTTTAAATTTGGACATGAAGTTTTCAAGCTATTATTTATTTTTTATTATTTAAAATGTTTTAGCACATTAGGTGCTAACTTAATATTAAAAGTATATACTCGTATTTTCGAGTTATTAAATTTTCTGTTCGAAAGATAATATTCTATGGTAATTATAGAAGATATGGGTGTCACAATGATTTGTTATTTTAATTATTAATATTAATCTATAAATATTTCATAATTAGTAAAATTTATTTAGTATAATCAATAATAAATAATATGTTATTAATATATCTAGTCAATTTTAAGTATATTTTAAACACAATTATTATCCGTATTACAAGTAGTAAAATAAACTTTAATTACTCAGAATATAATTGATTGAATTTTGATTTATATAAATTACATTAAAAAAAAAATAAAAAAAGTTAATAAATGAATAAACAATTTACTGTAAAAGAGAGTAATCATTTAAATTTTAGGAGATTGTATCGCCTTAAGACACTTAAAAATGATATAAAAAATGTAAGTACCTATTTTAAAATATGGTTTTCGAGTAAATTTATAATTTTCGTAAATCAGAATTAGAATGATTAAATGATAAAAATTGGTTGAGCATGCTTAGTGAATCATTCTGTATAATATAGTTTATTCGTATTTTTTTTTTGTCCAGAAACGTGGCGCCTGGCAAGAGACGTCGTTGTTAATTATTGGTTTCAAAAAGCGTGCGCTTCGAACTCTGAACCGATATAAATATGTAATAATTGTGTACGATTTCGATGCTAGCGGTGTGCTGCACATTGATAATTATTTAGGGTCGATATACATATTATAAATTTTATACAATATAAAATGATTTATTTCGTTCGAAAGTATTGATGATGGATTCGATTTATGTCAATTTGTAGTCAGATGTATTTCGAATGGCCTCACAAAGTATCATATTATACCATGTTACTGGTTTATTTTTATAAAGAGTGAAAATGTGAAATAGTTTAATGGCGACTAATTTTGGAATTTTGGCATTTTATGCTCATTGGCCTGTATGCTAAAACATGTTGCTGTGAACATATTTTGAATGTTATTTTCGTGTACCATAGCAGGAATAATTTTATGGTACAGATTAGTATTAAAGTTTTACCTTCGATATTGTGACATATTTGTATAGCAAGTAATACTTACTCGAATAAACGAAATCGTATCTGTTTATGTACAATTTTTAGATGCTCTAAATATCTCGTAAGCGTTATAATTGCCATATTAATATTATTATTTATTGTTTTTGTTTTTTGTTATTACTTTTGACTCTATTATGATGTTTAAACATAATAATCAACAGTTTTAAAAAATGCTTTTAAGACAACAGATTTTATTGTTATTGATGACTCATAAAGCAAACAACACGGAAAAATAAAAATAACATGATCGCTCATCTTGTGTAGTTTACATGTTTCTATAGTGTTCTGCAATTGTATTGTTATCTCCATGTTAAGAACACATCATTGTTAAACCACAAGTCCGAATAATCGTATTATGTGACTTTCGTCTATGTTTTGATCCACGGATAATTACTGTTAACGAATGCGTTTATCGTATTTTAATTGTTAAGTACAAGGTTGAATTTCTGTTCCAGCAATAAATGATTTATTTTTAGCGTACTAAATTTATCGTAAGAAGCTTTTTTCAAATATTAATCATAATATTTAATACTAGCTGATCTTGCACGCGTTGCTCGTTGCATATTAAATGTTTTTGGATTTACCCTTTCTTAAACTCTTTTAAATGTAAGCTACATAGATTTTTAATACAGCCGTTTTAGTAGTTTTGACCAAATATATAGGTCTAAAATTGTATACAATGATAATAACTATTTTATTTTATGTGCTTAATGGTTACCATATACAAATATAAAAAAATTTTATTCGTTTTTCGTGAACTCGAGTTTTTTTTTTACAAGTTATTGTAATAAGAAATAAAAAATAGTTTTTTGAATAAAACAAAATGTATCAACTACCTTCATATATATATAATTATTAATTAGTTTTACATGAAACAATATATTATCAACGAATTTAAGTACATATATAAACACTAAAGATGTTAGAAATTTTAAGGTGTGGGGTGTATTCCGGAAAATTAGTTTATAATGTAAGCATTTAGTTATAAATGTTTACCGCAGTATACCACCTAAATTTTTTTTCTTTAAAAAAATCGTATGTAATTATTTGAATTAGGTAACTTTTACGTGCATAAACTAATAATCTGTGCTATACTTTTACTCTTCTATTTTTCACAAACATCATATTACATTTTGAAATTAAGCAGAAAATGTAAAAAGTTTGTTATTAACATGACGTATAGTTGTATATAATATATATTTACAGAAATAATGAACATCATTAAATCATTTTTATATTAAATAATGAATAGTTTAATGAAAAAAAAGAAGATTTTTGTTATGTAAACAACAATTACTTTTAAGTGATAAACAATTATATTATTAGTTTAAGCATTAAGGTAATTATTTTATGGTGAAAATACATTTTTTCCTATAAGTTTAACTAGAAAAGTTATTTTGTATCCTGATAAATGATTTAAGTACCACTTTCATCAGTTCCATCATTAAAGTGTTAGTTATTTTTCATTATAAAAATAAACAGTTGTCTTATTCGATACATGTTTCGTTCAATTATTCATAATTCATAAGATATAGTTAAAAATATATTCTAATTTATATTCATCAATGATAAATTCATAAGTTAGATATGAATATTTTACTTTAAAAATGTGTTATTACTTTAACCTTATAAAGAATCATAAATCATGATATTATCTAGTTTTATATTTTCATTTGGTTCGAGTGTTTAATTGTTATTTAAAAAAGTTTCAGTATGATTATTCTAATGATATAATAGTTTTCGATTATTTTTAAGTCAAATTTTATGTGTTTATAACTTATAACTTGTTACAATTAAATCAATAACTAAAAATAATCATTGTATGCATGAACAGTGTTATAAGAACGCTTTATGTATATATATATAACAAAAAATAAGACATATGTTTATTAATAATATATTTATTTCAGACGAAAATCTAGCAAAAAACTAGATAAAGGCGAACTCCCACATCTTAATGACATTGACTACTTTGATCCATTCCTTGACAGAAACATAGAACACCCTACTACGTAAGTTTAATACCTATATATTATATGAATATATGTGTGTGTATAATATGCTAATATTATACTAATTGCGTAGTTGAGAACAATGTCATATTGTTATATTAATTATTGTTAGGTATTCATACTATTTACTTCGGTTTAAAGTGATTTGATTTAAATGGGGTATATAAATTATAATAAATATGAGTAATTACTAATTATTTTGATTTTACAGTAACGGTGAGACGCTAACTCATTTACTCAAAGCGTCTCTGGGAACCGGGATCCTGGCCATGCCACAAGCTTTCCAGTGTTCAGGACTTATAACCGGCATATTCGCAACAGTTTTCGTGTCATTCGTGTGCACGTTTTGTTCGTATTCACTGGTACGCATATGTTAAATATTATATAACATTATGTCATCATACAATATTGTGTGTTTTATTTGAAATACATAAACGTTGTTTAAAGACATATTTTTCACATTAATCTCTCTAAAAAAATTATTATGTCACTATACACAGTGATTCATAGAGGTTTAATTTTAATCAATTTTAACACCGATAAATAAATTATCATTTAAAAACTCTTCAGAAATAAATCATAAAAGATCAATAAGATTTAAAAAGTCATTATTGTGATATGTGCGTTTATTAAGCACTGATATTATAATAGAGCACAAAAGTCAAAGATCAATTTACGTCAATTATATCTTTTAACTGTTTAACAATATTATTTTGAATCATATTTTTGATTTTTTTTTATGTTACAAATAATTTGTTGACAAGTTAAATAATATATATTAAGTATTCAATACGGTTAACAAATTAAATTTATTAAATACTTTTCAATTTGAGCATATTAATAAGTAAACATTATTAATTATTCGTTAGTTTATATAATAATTAAATAGTTTAGGATAGGAATGTTGGAATTAATTTTGGAAAATCATTGTTTAAGAAATAATTATTTCTTTAATAAGCTAATTGAAATAACTCGAGAACTTAGTGAGCTGCTTTTTGATAGTTGACAATAAACAACATTTATTTGTAGATTTTTGAAAAAAATAAGTTCTTATGTTCCTTTGTTGCGGCATTGCGCACTTATACATTTATTTTTTAATTTAATAAAAATGTTTATCTTTTCTTTACATTGAATCTAAAATATTTTATCTAGATTTGTCTTAATGCTTTTAATATATGCGTGTATTATTCTCTTATTGTTTTACAGGTGAAATGCGCACACACGCTTTATAGGCGGACTAAAGTGTCGTCTATGGGCTATGCAGATGTGGCTGAAAAGGCATTCGCTAACGGACCAGAATGGTCCCGGAAATTCTCGTCGTTTACCCGGCAGTCAGTGCTTTGGCTATTATTCGTTACATACTTCGGAACGTGCAGCGTTTACACGGTGATCATCGCATCGAACTTCGAACAGTTGTTCCTACATCACATGGGTTTTTCGTTGAACATCCGGTACTTTATAGCTATGCTGCTCATACCGCTTATACTGCTCAGCTATGTGCCGAATCTTAAATATTTGGCGCCTGTGTCCATGTTCGCCAACTTGTTGATGTTCGTTGGTCTGGGAATCACGTTCTATTATACGTTAAGCGACTTACCTAGCATTTCGCAAAGGCCTGCAGTAGGGACTTTTGCAACATTCCCGACATTCTTTTGCCTCACCGTGTTTGCCATGGAAGCTATTGGAGTGGTACGTATTATATTTGCAGAGCTTCGAAAAGCGTGATAATTCAATAAATTAGCGATGCAGTTTAAGGCACTCATTGATTTCAGCGTTATTGAACATTTTGAGTACTTACCCATTTATTTTTTCATAAAATTTGAAATCCTGTTTTCAATATGTATTGATTTTAATGCATGATTATCTTTTCTTTTTTATTTTTTAATCATGACCCGCATAATCTTAATTTTATTAACAAATTTTTATTAGGTGTTCTATATTATTTATAAATTATGGACATTTACACTAGGCTAATGGTCAGGATATCTCTAATCCCGTTCATTAAAACTTGAAAGAGAATATAAAATTAAAAATATATGGGTTTACTTAATAAATATTTTAGTTAAAAAAAAAACGTGAAATTAAAATAAGTCATGAAAAAATATTTTACTAATATTGTTAATTGTTATGTTTGTACTTTTAATATATTCGTATAAATTGGTGTATAAAGTTTGCCGCGTTAAAGTCACTTTTTTTTGAAAATATCATTAATATTTTCGTTATTTTTAATTATTTTACTGTTCGTCTATCATGACTTATTAACGTCAAATGGCAATTTTAAAGACAGATAATATAATTTGATGATGTGTAATGGAATTAGACTTAGATTATTAAAATTTATTTTAGGTGATGCCGTTGGAAAACAACATGAAAACGCCCAGAAGCTTTTTGGGAGTTTTCGGTGTGCTGAATGTCGGCATGGGTGGTGTGACTATCGTGTATATTCTGCTCGGTTTCCTTGGTTACTTGAAGTACGGCGAAGCAACGGAGTCGAGTATAACGCTTAACCTTCCTACTGAAGATGTGTAAGTGTAATACACAGCTAGCTTCATATATCTTATCATTTTTCCATGTGTCACGCGTGACTATTAGATTTATTTATTTGAATAACGTGACTTCTGACAAAATCTTAATATGCATATTAATATTTACATATTGATAGAAAATGTTAGATAATTCACTAAGCATGCTCTTCTTCATTTTCCTCTAATAATACTTATACATTTTTAAATGTGCCTAAGACCATATCTTCAAATTATTGAGATTTTTTCTACTATTTATAGGGAATGTTCTATGGGGTGATACAAACTTCTGATTTTCAAATGAGAATTTTTGTTGTAAATTATTTAGTGAATACAATTTTTTTAATTATTGATACTCCTCGTTTAAAATTTGAACGAGTAGTTTCTCAGTTTTAAAATTATTTGTTTACTTAAAATAATAGTCCTTCATTATTAATTTATAAACATACTCTTGCAAAATATATTTAATATTAGATTTAGTATTAATTATATTTTGACAATTTTTTTTCATACATTTTAGATTGATTTAAATAGATTAATATTAATTACTAAAATGTTAAATATTTTTTTATCTTCCAAACATATTATTATTCTTAGTATAGAAATTATAAACTCATTATATACTCAGAGTTTTGAATAAAATACATTAAAATTAAAAAAAAATTATCCATTAATAAATTTACATTTAAAAAGAGGGTTTTCATTTAAAAACAGAAGTTTGTATATCCTTAGCAGTTCAAAAGATTTCAAAAATTTTAAAAATATGGTCTTTGAGGTTTGAGCATGATTGATAAATCACAATGTATATGTTAAGCTAACAGAAATATTTTTGGATGAGATTTAAACTGTGAGATATTACGTTCAAAGATTATTTTTTTTAAATTTATATTAGTATATTTTTGTCGAGACTTTAAGTTAGGTTAGGTTAGATGTAAATAATAATATAATATTGAATTATATTAATTATTATTCACTCTTTACAACGAGCGTTCAGAAACCTTAACTAATTTACTATTGAATATTAATGTTTTTATATGTGTTTATAGTGCTGCTCAAGTTGCTAAAGTATGCATTAGTTTAGCAGTGTTCTGCACATACGGTCTACAGTTTTTCGTTTGCTTGGAAATCGCATGGACAAAAATTCAGGATAGTTTTGAAAAAACTACAATTTACCACAATTACGTCCTAAGAACGGTCATGGTGACTTTGTCTGGTGAGTTACAGTGCCGTAAATGCAAATTGCATGCTGCATCAGGTCAATGTTTTTTTCGTTCTGTTTAAAAGAAAAATTTATCTCATAATTTTTTAATTAACTTTTTCAAGACGTTTTTAGTAGAAAAACTATTTTTTCCAATTACAAATAAACATAGTTTTTTGTCAAAAAAAAAAAAAAAAAATAAATAAATAAATCACTTGAAGTCAACATGTTGCATCTACTAAATTAAACCATTTATGTGGTGTTTAATAATTATATTTTATATCAAGTGGTACAAAAAAAGCAATTAATATGACGTATTGTTTTGTTTAAGTGTATACACAGGCGTATTTTTATTTTTTTAACATCTACATACCTACTCATCTGTGTGTAAGTGATAATATGGGCAATATAGGGATTATATTTAAGGAGGAACTCATAAGTCATAATAATTAACAATTGCATACTAAATCTTTCTTCAATAACTTTTATAAATTTAAAATTAACGATTTAAAAAAAAAAAAAATATTTTTTTTAATTTAAAACTTAATAGTTAAATTAATATTACATTTTTGTACTGAAATTTATAAAGTTTCATATTAAATGTATAATTTTACATTTTTTCAATTTTTGCAAATGATTTTTTAAATACTTTATTAATCAATCATCAATTATTAAAAATCATTTTTCAACATTGTTAAATTATCGAAAATCAGTTTATTTTAATTTTAAATACATTTGATTTAAAGTCTGTTCTACTTTTAAAATTATGTCTAAGAGGTCACCAAATATACATGTGTTGTCACCTCTGTCTTAAAAACATTCAATATAGAAATTTGTGTTCAATAGAATCAATTTTGTTTTGTTAATTTTAATAAGTGCATTAACAAATTATTACCATCGTATTTAAAAATGAGGATATCAAAGACATTAGTATGTTTTTATTAATATTTTAACTGTAATAAGAGTTAAAATAATAAAAAATATTACAATTATTTTAAAGTGCTCGTCATAACTTGCTTAAAATTAGTGTATCAATAAAAATATACGAGTTTTCTACATATAATATAATAATCTCTGATCTTTAAATTTAATAGTATAGGCCATAGGGTCACTTTAATATCAATGCTAAATATAGGTTAAGATTTTTTTTTTTTTTTGATGTCCTGTTCACGTACACGAGTTCTAACTCTCAATATGTATTATAACTTTTAGCGTATTAACGGTGGTGGAGTAGCGAAGAATATAATTAACTCGCTGCTGAGATTTTATTGAATTTTTTTTTTTAATATCCCATTTACTGTGGCCAGTTAAAGTCACATAATCTCTAGATTTTAGTCTTTGTCCATCAAATAATCGGTTTGCATGACATGGCCATGGCGATTTGACTATTTTAGGAATTAGTATTAAAACTATCAATTAAAATAATAATTATGATAGAGAAAAATTGGGGTGGGGAACGCTTGGTAAATCACTAAAAATAATAATATATGATATATTTCATACTTAATATGTTAGTATAATTATTAATAATAACGTGTGTGTTTCGCAGTGGTAATTGCTGTAGCCGTACCGACAATCGGACCGTTCATCGGACTCATCGGAGCCTTCTGTTTCTCGTTGCTCGGCATCATCGTGCCCGTGATCATAGAGTTCGCCACGTACTGGGACAAAGTGACCATCTGGATGACTATCCGGAACGCTGTGTTGATCGCCGTTGGCTTCTTGGCGCTGGTCTTTGGTACGTCCAACAGCGTGTTCCAAATCATTTCCACGTACAGTCCCGACGCTCCACAGGTCGTCGGCAACATAACTCATACGGCTCATACGGCCGCCCAATGACCGGAAATCCGACCACACCGTCGATCATACAACCACTCAGCTCCTCTCTTCCCCCACATAATTCGAGACGTCCGGTCATGCCGAGTACCCACACTGTTACGATGATTGTATATGTCCACACACATATATATGTGTATTTATTAACGCATGTATACGTATTAAAAATTTATAAATCGAGGTCAGACGACAGATTTCGACAAGTCAACTGCTAAACGGTTAGTCGTCAAGTCATCATCGTCGTCATTGTTTTCTTCGACGGGCGCCCGTCGACCACTGTGTGCAATTGCGTATAGCTTCGGCGGGCTATATAATAGCAGGTGCAGACATTTTACATAATATTATTTTTAGGGCGCACTCGCACATCGAAAAAAAAATTTTTAAGTATTATATTTATATTGCTATTTTAATTTTAATTTATAATATTTATTTTCTAAACATAATGTCAGATTTAGGATTAATCATTTTTATTATTATTGTACGATCGGGTGGTTTTTTTTTTTTTTTTTTATTCGATCCAGACAGGCTTACAATATTATATGATATTATAATTAAATAAATGTTTTTCATTTTCTTTTTTATAAATAATATATATATTTATATGTATTTAATTCGTATTGGATTTAAGTAAATAAGGTATTAAGCAATTGTATGTTATTTTTTGATACATAATAATAATTAATATACAATAAATTTAAAGATAGCGATAAAAATATTTATTTTTTGACCTTATGTTTGTTTGTGACCAGATTAATTTTCGATTCAAATCACATTTTTTGCCAGTTTGAGAAAAATATAAAGATGTTTAGTAAAATTCAGCCACTCTTTAGTTGAAAAACGCTGAAAAACCTCTACAATCATCTTCAATTATTTGAAAAGTTTTTAGTTGTATAAGTTTCATTTCCATAGTTGGAAATATTATCAAGGGACATATTTCTTCTTCTCGTACATCTATCCTGTTCTTGCCAAAATATCCCATGTATAGATGCGTACATTGATTTGTATAATCATTTTTTTATAATATTGTTAGAGAAGCATTGAGACGAATCTGACTATTTTTGGTGGACGAATAAAAAATATTGAAATTTACAATAGCAGTTTAATAAACAACTATTAATCAACCTATTTTTAGAAGTCGTTATACCTGCATATATTATTGAGTTGACTCTGTCTTACAAAACGTAATACGATGCGGAAAATATATGTAAAATAAGAGTGAATTAACACTGCGTATCATAAAACTTAAGATTAAGTTGAAATTTAATTTTCTATTTTGTTTTGCGATATTTAAATTTGTATGCAAGTCATATTAAAATTTCAAATTTTCATACGTTTTTCTCTGAAAATTCAAATATTGTAAACATTTCACGATTGTTTTTTATAATTTTAAAATTGATAATCAATTTATCTACAGTAATACGAGTTTAAGTTAAACATAGACTAATAATACAAGAAACTTGCATAGACTACGACGTCACCGATTGGGTACTCGAATCGTTTAAAATATTGAACTATCATATGATTTGAGCATAAAACATATTTTTTTGCGACACGATTGAGCGATTTTGTTGACAAATCAGAAAATATAGACATTTTAAGAATACAAATAAGAAAATATTGATAAGTATAAAAAATTTTATGACGTTGTCATTTGCCATTTTTCATGTTTAACACATTTTAACTACATTCAAAAAAATATACTAATTTGAACAATTACAATTGTACATGATTTCACACGCCATGTATTAATTGTTACTCGTTGATAATAATAATAATAATAAATAATCGAGCTAGGTTATTGTATATCGTTAAGTTTAACGGTATGGAATACTTGCTATACAGAATCTGAATTATTTTTATAAAAATTTGAAAATTATTTAGATCGAGTCACCGATTTTTTTTCACAAAATTTTCGTACATCTCGTTATTGATCTATGTAATTTGTGGATTTAAATGGTGTAAAAATTATAAGAAAAACAACTAAAAACGATGATATAAATTCTAATTGAAAAAAGTATATGTATACGTGACGAGTGTTGCAAATTCAAAAAATGATCAATTTTTATTTACCGATTGATTTGGCTCATTTTAAGTATAATTTATTTTAGTATACAACTTATAAAATGATATTGATAAAAGTGCTATTTAAATGACCTAAAAAATTTAATTTTTGGATTATTTGAAGTGCGATTGTTACACTTATATTCAATGTTTATTGCGAAAATACATCAATCTATTGAAATAAGAAAATACTTGAATTTATATAATGTAAATATTATACAAGATAATAAGTAGAATAAGGTTCTAAGTATTGAGTCAACACTGTTAACCCTGTAGTACCTACGTATGACAGCAAATAAAAAAAAAAAGAATGTTGAAAATTTGAATGTTTCACGTTCAGCATTTTTTCCACATATAACAAATAGTTTTATTGTTTTATGTGCAACTTATACAATTTTATTTATTAAATCAGATAATAATATGATAATTAAGAGTATTATAATATAATAATGATAAAAATGTAATATTTTGTCTTGTAGACATTAAAAAATTTTTAAAAAATTGTGCGTCGAAACTTCTTGTTACTATACAAAAATCATGATCACAAGTATAAAATATTAAATATAAAACAATAGTTAATTAGTTTTGGGAGTAGTTTGACGTTTTTGGTAGCCCTTTGACGCGAGATTCGATGCAGTTCAACGCTTCTAACATTGGAAAGAGTTCAGTCATCAGCCCATTTGTAACGCTTACTAAATCCTCTTCGGTCACGATGAATCCATCTGTAAAGCAAAACACAGTTTAGTGAAGACTCAAGCGGTCGAATTTTTGGTATTTATTTTTGATTTCATTAACCTGAGTGTTTTTCGATCAACAAATGACAATATACGCTCAATATGCTGGTGATATCATCGTCGTCTTCCTCCGTTCCGGTCGATATCAGTTCATTGAGCCAACGACTCCTATTACAAAAAGACGATTACTGATTAGATGTTTCGTTTCAATAAACAAGTTGTTCTTATTATATTATTTAACACTAAAACGTTACAATTCATAAATATTACCCTACATAAATGCAATAAAAGTAAAACAGTTAATTAATAATAATAATACAAGACGTACAAAGTTAATAAGAAAGAAAGAAAAGGTTAAGGTCTCCAATTTTGTTATAATATATTAATAATGTTGTTGATGGTTATGTTATTTGTTTAACAATAATTATTAATGTATGTACTGCTTGAGAAATTTGCTACTATATTTAAATTCTATTAAATTTTAATTCAATAATAATTTACATGAATTAAATTTAAACTTATTTTAAGATATTATTTTTAATTACAGGTATTCAATATATCAAATATAATAGAATTGTTATTTAAAATTATATAATCACTTAAAAATTAATTTCACTATTTACGAGTGTAACTGTATATGTAAAAAAAGAATAAGAATTATTTTGAATAATTGATGACGTACAATAACTTCCAATTAAAATTAAAAATACCGTTAATATAATTATACAGTGAGTCAGATACCCGTTAAAACGTACCAAGAATTATGTGTACCTATTTAATTTGTTCAATCGGAAAATGTATAATCAATTTAGATATGACGTACGAAGTAGCACTAATTAAATTACGAATGCAAGTAAAGTAAAAGTAATCATTGATTTCTACCTAAAGATAAGATTATACGTACAAAACGTATTTAATGTATTCGATTTCAAAGAATATTTCAAAACAAATTATTCTATTTTTATGTTTAAGCATCGAAAATATTATTATAACCTTAAAGTATCGAAGTATAGTATATAATAATATATACGTATATTAAGCACGGAAAACTAACGCGAAAAACGGAGCGAGCGTACTTGATGAGTTGCCCCACGGATTATGTTTTATAATTTTAGTCGTTTAATTATTCACGTAGTGTCGTGAGATTGGCTATCTTCATTATTAAACAATTAATTTATTAATTAGTTTTTTATGTTAAAATTGTATTCTGATACTTACCGCACATTTATTATTATATTATCTAATGTAAGTTTGATAATAAAACTTTGATTATTATGCTATACATTACTATCTTTATAATTGAAATTAAAAAAAAAAAAAATGCTCACATTAAATCGTATTGCAGTTATTAAAAAAAATTAATATTTTTTAATAAATTTCTCTTAATATAGCTATTATACGTAAGATTAGAGGAAAACAAAAATGTTTAGTCAAAAATTATAAATTTGGGCTTGAAAGGGCTAAAATAATAAACCAAGATATTATGAGAACAATATTGATATTTAATACTGATCTTCAAATATCATAGTGATTATCACCATACAATCGAGTATGGTATATAGTATAGGTACATATGCTTGAATTGCAAATCAAGTATAGGCACAATATTTTTATTTTGTGTACTATGAGCATATCAAGAGAAATGTATGTTATATTTTGTCAACGCGTCAGACGTACTTATTCTGTTTAGCGTATGTCAAAGCGTTAGGCCAGTCCGACTCTTGAAGTATCTGGACCAAACTCTCTTCGGGTGTTGGCGCCAGTGGATGTGTACCGCTCTCTTCTTTGGCACGCAACAGTGCTCTTCTCACGGTGCTCACTTCGGCCGACAAGTTTTGGAGCTACGAAAAGGCGAAAAAAATCATAAAAATATATATATATATATATATATATATATACGAGTATATACGTATACTATAGCGAACGCGAGTCACGAAAGTAACAAGAAACTCACTTTATTTTCGACGGCCGAGACGGAAAGTGCGATGTACATTTTTGCGGCAGCTTCCAAGAGCAGCAGCAATTGCAAGTGCAATTTGTATAGAGCTTTACCTAAATCCAAAATGGACTCTTCGTTTGAATAACAACCGCCATCAGCTCCGCTGCCACCGCCACCACCTGTTCCGCCGCCACCACCACTGCTCGTGCTCGATCCTTCTGGCAGACGTTCGCCAAGTTTGCACACTTTAAGCGTGGCCCGTACGGAAAACAAACACTAGACAACAATAAGATATCAACATCATATTATATTATATAAGACACCGCGTTGTAAACTATTATTTGTAATCATTTAATTAATAATTAATTACCACCCAAATCTAGCAGATCAGCTAAAGGAGGGATAATATAATTATATTAAATTTTGTTTAAGATACCTAACGCCAAATCTATAATATTATGATTTATGTATTATAGAAAACGAATAGTATTATATAATATCTACTTAGAACATTATTATTATGACTTATGAAACTTATTTACAGTATATAAATGAGTAAAAGTATTTTAATGTATTTTACTTATTGCTATTTTTGTTTGCTCCTTTAGTGCCTATTGCCACTATCTACAAACGAGTTTAGTCGGTTTGAACTCAGTGCACTGTTTAAA